AGCTGCACACTTTTTTAAGTTGTTTAGCCCCCTCTTAGTTTCTTCTGCTGCTTCCCCATCACATATTAAAAAACTCTCCTTTAAGTACTTGGTGCCTGTGAAGGGCTGTACCAAAAATTTTGTGCCACAAAGAAGAGGAAGGAAATCTGCATTTATAAACCTATGTATAGCCACAGAAATGAACAGTTATAAGGCAGGTGGTAGTAGGCAGTTTAGCTTCAATAACTTATCCTAAATCTGGCCGATCACCAGAATTAGCTGGGGAATTGTTTAAAAATATAGATTTCTTGGTCCCACTCTAGACCAACTAAATTGAAATCTGAAGGGAAGAGAACAGGCCACATACATATACCTCTGTGATCAGTGGTCTTTAGCTTTGACTGCTTATTCGAATTACTTGGAGAGATTTAAAAATTACCAGTTCCTAGGTTCTACCTCCAGAGATTCTGAATTGGTCTGAGGTGTGGTTGAACTTTTTTAAAAACTCTGTATTTGAGAATTGTGCCTAAAGTGATTCTGGTAAGCCAACGTTGGAAACCCATGACCACCTGATGGGTCTCGAATGTTTGAGGACTGGGGCACAAATAAGAGGAGGTTTCTTTTCTAACCCCAAAAGTCCACAGGATGCCTGAAGAGGCACTTACATGAAAGAGTTGCAGGAGTTAATTGACTGGATAACTCATAGAGAAAGCAGCTGGAAAAGGAAAGATTCAGTGAATGTGACCATAGAAAAAAAAGCATTGAATTAATGTCTGGGTACTCCTTTCTGAGGCCACAGTGTTGCCTTGGCTGTGTCTGATGTATGCCCAAGTGCTATGGACAGAATTATGCCCTTCTCCCTCCAGACTCCCACTATGTGACTATTGAACATAGGGCCTTTAAGAAGGTGATGAAGGTTACATGAGGTCATGAGGGTATGGGCCTAATCTAATAGGATTGGTGGCTTTTTAAGGAGAGAGAGAGAGACAGATAGACAGACAGAGACAGAGACAGGCAGACACGGGGATGGCTGCCTGGTGAGGACACAGCAAGATGAAGCGATTTGCAAGCCAGGAAGAGAGTTCTCATAAGAAACCAAAACCTGCTAGAATCTTGATCTTGGATTTTCAGCCTTAGAACTGTGGGAAAATAAGATTCTGTTGTTTAAGCCACTCAGGCAGCCCAGTCTAAGAAACTAATGCCTCACTTCCTAACATCTGTTCACTCCTCTTTGATATGCCTGTGATGTTCCTATCCACTTCCCACGCTCCATCTCTCTCCTTGAGAAGTGCTCCTATCCCATCACTGTGCGTGAGAGCTCCCCTGCTCCAGCCAAGCTTTATAGAAGTAGATTGACAAGAGGCCTTCTTTGGATGCCTAGCAAGTGGGTGCTTTTGTATACATTGTGAAAGATATAATGATGATAATGCCTCTCATTCATTATTTCATTTGATCCTGCCAAAAGCTTGGTGATATAGGGCACACAGATCAATTTATTCCCATATTACTGGTGAGGAAACTAAGGCTAAGAGAGGTGAAGTAGCTTACTCAGATTGAGTACCTAAGAATGCCTGCTGTAGAGCAGGAATTTTGTCTTGGCACTATTAATGTTTTGGTCTAGAAAAGTATATGTTGTGGAGATTGGCCTGTGCATTGTAGGATGTTTAGCAGTTTCCTTGGCCTCTATCCACTAGATCCCAGTAGTCCCTTTCTTTCCCTCTCCCCTAGTTGTGACAATCAAAAATATCTCCAGATACCATCAAATGTCTCCTAGGGGCAAAGTGTCCACTGCTATCACAGATTGAGCCTTCAGGTTTGAATAGGAGATCTTTTGTGGTTTTTGTTGCGGGAGAATTTTTTTAGCCTATTCTGCTATTATTTATTAAGCACCTTTTATAAGCCAGGTGTTTTACATACCTTCTATCTTTCAAGTAGTATCCCTTTCAAGTAGATTGTATTATTGTTCACTTAGCAGATGAAAATTTGACTGAAAGACTGGTTTGTCCAGTTGGTAAGTGGCAGAGCCAGGACTAAAACCCATGTCTTTCCTACTCCCAAACCTGAGCCTTTCAGTATACTATGTTAACCCTATAGATATTTTGGCATCAGTTCTATAGTTTGCCCTATCTTTCTAAGGAGAAGCCTAGAGATGTGTATTATTTCACTTCATCTTTCTCTCCATTCTCCTAATAGATACACTTTTATTTTTTTAGGCAAGGCAACCCTTGGTTGACGTCACAGATTGCAAGGACCTTGTCAGTTTATAATCTCTTATTTTTTATTGTTTACGCCTATAGCACTTGGTCTTCCTAGGTGATCTCCCATCCAAGTACTAACCAGGCCGCTTAGCTTCCGAGATTAGATGGGATCGGGCTTGTTCAGGGTGGCATGGCTATAGACCTAATAGATATACTCTTAGTCAAAGATATCACTATACCCTTCCAGGCTTTAGGGAGCTAAAGGAAGACTAGACCCAATCTATTATGGAGAAATTTGTCTTGAGATAACTATAAGGAAGCATTCTCAAAATAGCATTAAGTGAGGCTCATGTTAATTTTTCTCTTGTCATTTGTTGGTACTTTTCCCATTTAATTTTAGTATGCCTGTAATTTTGTCTATGGCTCAGAATTGTGAAGGAGTGGATAATTTTGTCATGCTTGTTTTGGCTCCAGTGATGAAAAGAAGCACCCGCCAGCACTTATCTTTGTTTTGCGGGGCAGAAATTGCACAGGCATATGAAATGATATTTTTAAAAATAGCATTTAACCATTTTCAGAGCATTTTCACAAATGTTATCTTATTTGAATCTCTTAACTTCTTGTGAAATTAGTAGTTAAAAGTATTTTAAACTCCATTTTATAGATGAGGCTTAGAGAGGTTATAAGACTTGTTCAATGTTAGTGTCTCGTAGAATGGTGAAGCCAGGATTAGATCCCACATCTGTTGACTTAAGCTTAGATCTGGAATATGGAGCTCTTGCTACCATCATCTGCTTCTTAGAGCTGGTAGTTCCCACCTCCTCACCTGACAGACCTCATAACAAGCAGAAGAGCTGACTAGCTTGTATTTCATTTTCCCTGCTCTCCCTTGATTTACATACTAGTGAGCCTGGTAAAAGCCAAAGGCCAGGCTTGAGAAAGTAAGTAGAAGGCCACAGTTCGCCTCTGCAGAGCTGAGGAAATATCAAGAAGGTGAATAAATATTTAGTAGGGAGAACAGAAACAACTTATTTACTTTCTTTTGATTGTTACAGTAGGAAGTGAGATAGACCCTATTACAGTTTAAGTTTTCCCTTTCAACTAGTCACTGGAAATGTGAAGAGATGAGGGAGAAGAGAAAACCCAGGGATGAGCATTTTTGTATCTGGAATCTGATATATTCCAGACATCAGAGACAAAGGGTTAATGCCAAGGTTTCTTTTAAAAAAATTAGAAACAGATTTATTGACATTTTCATTAAAGAATATTCAGGAAGTGCTACATTACTGCACACTAGAGGGTGGGTGTCCTTTAATGTGCTAATTAAGAGATGATTGTCACATCTGTTATCAGAAATGCCCTAGATCGATCTGGAGCAAGAAGTAAGTTTCCAAGCAAGTAAAGATGCCACTGTTACAGACCTTATACAAGAGCAGCAGGAGATAGTGGGAAGAGCCCAAGCCTTAGCCATAGCTCAGCAGAGTGCTCATGGAGTTTTTAATGGAGGGAGTCAGTGACACATATTGTTAGCCTGATAATATGTTAGGATAGAGGTTATTTTAGAGTTGAAATTATCTGTCCTCTTTTATAAGTTTCCTTTTGAAGTCTCAGTTCCCTCATTAGTATTTTTCGAAGGTAATAATATAGATACTTAAAATACACATATACATATACCCGTACAAACACACACTAGCATAAGTATATATAGAACTTTCACTTTTGTCTTTGGATTATCAGCTTGAATAGATTTGTATTTAGAAATGGTTTACTGATTGTAAAACATTGATTTATTAATTTATGTTAATTCATTCTATTAATAAAGAAAAACAGTATTTTCTGAACTTGTCTTACCCTT